TTGTGAAATCGAGCCCCATATCAGGCTCCACAATCAGTGTGGAGTCTGCTTCAGATTCTCTCTTTCTCTAAAATAAATAAATAAAATCTTTTGAAAAAAAAAATCCAGTGGAAAAAAAGACAGTCTCTTCAACAAATGGTGTTGGTACTATTGGACAATCACATGCAGAAGAATGAAACTGGACCACTTTCCTACACCATACACAAAAATAAATTCAAAATGGTTGAAAGACATAGATGTGAGACAGGAAACCATCAAAATCTGAGAGGAGAACACAGTCAGCAATGTCTTTGACCTCAGTTGTAACAATTTCTTACTAGACACATCTCCAAAGGCAAGGGGAAACAAAAGCAAAAATGAACTATTGGGACTTCATCAAGATAAAAAGTTTCTGCACAGCGGAGGAAGCAATCAACAAAACTAAAAGGTGACTATAAAAAACTTACTAAACTCAACACCAAGAAAATAAATAATCCTATTACAAAATGGGCAGAAGACATGAACTGATATTTCTCCAAAAAGACATAAAATGGCTAACAGACAGATGGAAAAATGCTCAACATCACTCTGCATCAGGGAAATACAAATCAAAAGCACAATGAGATACTACCTCACACCATACATGGCTGTATTTAACAAGTCAGGAAACAACAGATGTTGGCAAGGATGCAGAGAAAGGTGAACTGTCTTACACTGTTGGTGGGAATGCAAACTGGTGCAGTCACTCTGGAAAACAGTATGAAGTTTCCTCAAAAAGTTAAAAATAGAGCTACCTTATGACCCAGCAATTGCACTACTAGGTATTTATCTAAAGGATATAAAAATATTAATTCAAAGGGTCATATACACCCCCAATGTTTATAGTAGCATTATCCACCTTAGCCAAATTATGGAAAAAGCCCTAATATCCATCAAATGATGAATGGATAAAGAAGATATGGTATGTATATGTGTGTGTTTTTATATTTATATATATAAGTAAATATAATGGAATATATATATGTACACATACACACACACACACAATGGAGTATTACTGAGCCATCAAAAAGAATGAAATCTTGCCACTTGCAATGATGTTGATGGAATTAGAGTGTATTATGCTAAGTGAAATAAATCTGAGAAGAACACCACATGAAATAAATCTGAGAAAAATACCATACGATTTCACTCCTCTGCAGAATTTAAGAAACAAAACAGTTGGGGGCACCTGGGTGGTTCAGTCAGTTAAGCATCTGACTCTTGATTTCAGGTCAGGTCGTGATCTTAGGGTCACTAATGAATCATTGAACACTACATCAAAACCTAATGATGTACTGTATGTTTCCTAATTGAACTTAATAAAAAACAAAACAAACAAAATAAAGCAAGAACTGGGGTTTGCCCTCAAGCAAAAAGCTGTACAAATGGGAAACTCACTGTGTCCCATTTCTTTTCTTTCTTTCTCTCTCTCTCTCTCTTTTTTTTTTTACAAAAGCATTAACTCTTCTCCAGTATATACCTTCTTGTGCTGTTCTCTCATTATCTTCAGGTAGTTATTTTTTTCTACTTGGCCCAGAGTTTGCAGTTTTTACCTGTAGGAAGGTTGCTCCAATAGGAAGTACTCAGTTATTACTAGAGGCAGAATCCCTTTTCTTTTTCACTAATGCCTATAGGATCTGCGCTGATTTCTTTTCTCTCATTCCTGATATTGGTTAATTTGTGTCCCCCCCACCTCTTTTTTTTTGAGTGATCAGATCTTTAGCTAGACGTTTAGTAATTTTATCTTTTAAAAGAAGCACATTTTCTATTCAATTAATTTCCAGAAGTATCTTTATTTCCTTTGTCCCTAGTTTTGTTTTTTCCCCCTAATTTCTTAAAGTGGAAGCTTAAATAATTTAGATTTTCCTTTTTTCTAATATAGACATATAAAGTAATAATTTTTCCCTCTAAGCACCACTTGCCCTGTGTTCTACACTTTTGGATATGTTTTTATTTTTATTCAGTTCAAGATATTTGATCAAGATGTGATCAAGAAGAAATCAAGATGTGGTTTCTTCTTTGACCCATAGTCTATTTAAAAATATGTTGTTTAGGGTGCCTGGGTGGCTCAGTTGGTTAAGCGTCTGCCTTCGGCTCAGGTCATGAGCCCAGGGTCCTGGGATAGAGCCCCACATCTGGCTCCCTGCTCAGTGGGGAGTCTGCTTCTCCCTCGGTGCTTCCTCCTGTTCATGTTCTCTTTCAAAAAAGTAAAAACAATCTTTAAAAAAAAATATGTTGTTTAATTTCAAAATATTTGGAGTTTTCCCTCATACCTTTCTGTTGACTTCTAATTTAATTGTTATATATTATATATATTATAATTATGTTATTCTAATTTATGTTATATAATTGTACTGCAGTCACATAACATATTGCGTGATTTTAATCTATGTAAATTTACTGAGATTTGTTTTATGAACCCAGGCACATACTTAACGGGCACTTCTAGAGATACCCCATTAAAAGTAGAATAAGACAAAGAAGCCTACTGTCTTCACTATTTATTAAATATTTTTATTGGAAATAACTAGCCAATACAATTAGATATGAGAAATTAGAGGTATAAAACTTGGGAAGGATTAAGGTAAAATTTTATCTCAATGACATGATTGTAATCACAGAAAATCTAAAAGAATCAACTCCAAACAATAAAACAACTTAGTAAGTAGTAGAATATTAATATGCAGAAAATGATACTTCCGTGCAGATGAACTACCATATATAGTAACTCTATTCTGATTTGATAGTTCTAGGCGGCTGCTGAGAGAGAGACTAGATATGCTGGATTTGACCCTGTTGCTGTTGGTGCATTTCTCAAAGTAGCCATTTCTTTTGCCCACATTAACAGCACTATAGTCAACCCCTCCTCATCTCTCTTCCTCTTACCCCTGCCCTGGCTCCTTGGAAGTTAAGAGGTAGCAAAACAGATCCTTTCCTTAAATATATAGGAAAGAGAGAGAAAGTATCACATAGGATACTTGTGGCTGTAAGAAGTAGAATTCTTGTCTCAAGCTGACTTAACAATAATAACTAATATTTTTGCGCACTTACAACATCATCAGTGCTACCTAACCTCATTTAATCTTCATATAATCTCTATCAGAAAATAAGGAAACATATTAGGTATCCCCCCAAGAACTTCATTAACAAGAGAGCTCCAGGTTTGAAATGACATTAAACTTGACTAGTCTGGTTATGGAACATATCAAATTTAGGTGACCCACTGATACTGAGACTACTTTTTGGAAGAAAGGTACTTGGACTTCAAACTTGACATTAAAAAAGTAAATGATGATAGTAATAGTGGTGATGATGATGTGGGAAACAAAGGCAGAAGAAAAATTAATTTCCTTACTACTTGTTGCCCATTGACAAAGCCTTGAAACAGGCAGAGTGACATGCCTCTAGGGACTAACCTGCCTGGATGTTGACACTTTGCTAAGGGCAAAATGCAATCTTAGCCTGACCCCTAGGACCCTGTAGGTCTTCTATAACATAAAAATTCCTTTGGAAACTTCCTTTATCTTTACTCCCCAAGATACATGTTAGCAATCATCCCCCAAGCATATGACCCAGGGATATACATCTGAATGGTCTCATGACTAAAGTTTTTTTTTAAAGATTTTATTTATTTATTTGACAGAGAGAGACACAGTTCGAGAGGGAACACAAGCAGGGGGAGCGGGAGAGGGAGAAGCAGGCTTCCCGCGGAGCAGGGAGCCCGATGCGGGGCTGTATCCCAGGACCCTGGGATCATGACCTGAGCCGAAGGCAGACGCTTAACGACTGAGCCACCCAGGCGCCCCGCCTAAGGTTTTATAAGACAGTAATAAATGACCTTTTCCCAACAGTAAGTAACCTCCTCAAGGTCTCGGAAACCTTGTTTCCAAAATTCCTTAGAGACTTATGCTATCCCTAACCCCTTCCCAACTTGAAGGGATATCATCACCACCCCTTACCAACCCCATTGCAGCTTTCTGCCCACAGGTCCCTGTCCATGTACTTTAATACCGGCTCGTCGGCCGGTCCTGACGCTCTAGACCTGCGAGGAGGACGCACCTTTTTGCACCAAAGACCTCTAAAGAATTCTTTCTTGGGCGCCTGGGTGGCTCAGTTGGTTAAACCACTGCCTTCGGCTCAGGTCATGATCCTGGACTCCACGGATCGAGCCCCGCATCGGGCTCCCTGCGAGTCGGCTTCTCCCTCTGACCCTAACCCGTCTCAGGTGCTCTCTCTCATTCTCTCTCTCAAATAAATAAATAAAATCTTTAAAAAAAAAAAAAGAATTCTTTCTTGGCTGTTGACTTAGAACTCTAACATCTTTCCTACATCAGGACAACAGTGGAATGTTCAAAGTGAGAATAAGGGTAACTAATCCTTACTGATTACTTACCAAGTGCCAGACCCTACCTAAGTGCTTTACATCCTTATAACAAATGTAAGAGATTAATTCTATTATTCATTTTACTACTTAACTCAAGTAATTTACATTTTTTTTTCTTCGTACCCTTGCATTCCCTGGAGCACAGTAGGCATTTAATAAGTATTTGGTGAATAAAAGGAAATTTAATGTTGCCAAATTTCTCAGCCGAATGGGGCAACACGGACTTCAGGGCCAGAATGGGACTCAGATGGCGGGTGGTTTCAAGTCCTTGGAGGTCCGCCAAAACGCCAGATCCCTACCAGGAGCCATATAAGCCGGTGGTTTAAATTTCCTCGACTAGCGCTGCTGGACTGAACTGTATGCTGGGGGCTTAACGGGACGCAGAAAACAGAAAGAGGGGCTCTGAGGAGACGACACCATTCCCGGTGCGAGTCCGAGCGTCCGGGACGCTGAGAACACCAACCCTCACCCCCACCAAGGACTCTCAGCCCGGGACTCGGGTTTGGTGGACCAGTGCGCGGAGCCCGGCGGCCGGCCGGTCCTGACGCTCTAGACGCGAGGAGGACGCACCGGAAGTCTCCACTGCTCTTCGCCGGCGTGGGGGCCTGCGGACCTTTCCGGCCCACTCTGCTGCCTCCGGAAGGAGAGCACACGCGTTCCGCGGCTAGTTGCCGGGATCCCGGACAGGTTAGGTTCCGCGTGGGTCTAAACGTCCCGGTCTCTTTTACCCTTGGAAATGTTTGTTCCCACAGTCTGGGCGGCTGCGTTTGCGCTCCGTGTGGGCTGCTGCCAGGGTAATGTCCTCAGGGATTACCTCCCGGCGGCTTGCGCCGTCGCCCGGTTGCGACCTCCCCGCTGGTTGCTTGGTGCCTGGGGGCCCTTGGTGGTCTCAGCGCCTCGGGCGGCTACGAGGTGCTTCCTCCCTCCCCGGGGTTATGAGGCCGTGAGTAGCTAACCGTGACCCTGCCCTGCAGTCCGTGTTGAGCGTTCCTAAGGTCATAGTGGTTTTTGTCCCCATCACACTTGCCCTCCATACAGGGTCCTGACAGTAGAAATGATCTTTATTGTTAGGGACGGCACATATGTGCCTGTATGAGTGTCAGTCGGTGTGTTGTGTGTAATATTAAAAATCCATAAAGATTCTTATATTTGACTACTCGCTTCTTGAATCTTTCTCCTTCTTACCTGTGGGTTATTGCTCCACGTTTAAGGCGTCTTATTGCTCAGTTTCACCTTTGTGTAGAAGTAACGACTCTCCTTCAACTTTGCACATACAGAACACAGATCTGATTGTGTTATTCTAAGGCTCAAAATCTTACTGGCCGTCCCGGTGACTCAGGATAATACAAATGCCTTAGCCCGGCTTCCAGACCTTTCAATGTCTTGCTAATGCTGAGTGTTTCAGTCAACTGCTTTCCTGGAAAACACCTACACATACAGCCTGTATGCTCCAGCAATGCCAACATGCAGTGATTTCATCACTTTGGATATGACAAAGTTTTACAATGGCTTACCTACCTTTTGAAGTTTATTTTTCCGTTCTGTCAAAATGTATTGAATTCCTAATATTCCCAGGCACTGTTTTAGGAGCTATGGTATATCCTATGGATATACCACCATTTATTTATCCGTCGGTTGGCTGGTAGACATTTGAGTTTTGGCCGTTATGAATAATGCTGCTACGAACATTCATGTACAGGTTTTTGTGTGAACATCATTTTTTTTTAAATTTATACATTCAATTAGCCAACATACAGTAACATCATTAGTTTTGATGTAGTGTTTAGTGATTCCTTAGTTAGGGATAACCCCCCGTGCTCATCAGATCACGTGGTCTTAATGCCCAGCCCCCCGTTACCCCCTCCCCCCCCCCCTCCCTTTCCCCCACCCTCAGTTTGTTTCCTGGAGTCCAGCGTCTCTCATGGTTTGTCTCCCTCTTTGATTTCTTCCCGTTCAGTTTTCCCTCCCTTCCCCTGTGGTCCTCTGTGCTTCATGTTTTCATTTCTCCTGGGTACATACCTAAGATTAGCATCGCTGGGTAATAGGGTAATTCTGTTTCACATTTTGAGGAACTGCCTGACTATTTTTCAAAGCAGCTAAACCATGTTATATTCCCATCAGCAGTATACGAAGGTTCTGATTTCTTCATATCGTTGCCAACACTTGTCACCACCTGTTTTTTATTCTTAATTCTAGCCATCCTTTGTGACGTGATGAGCACTCGGTGTTATACGCAACTGATAAATTATTGAATACTACATCTGAAATTAAGTATGTTCTATATGTTGGCTAATTGAGTTTAAGTTAAAAAAAATTCTAGTGGTTAAAAAAAAATTCTAGCCATCCTAGTGGGTGCGAACTGTGTCTCGTTGTTTTGATTTGCATTTCCTTGATGGCTAATGATGTTGAGCATCTTCTCATGTGCTGTGGGCCATTTGTATATATGCCTATTCATATCCTTTGCCCATTTTTAAAATTAGATTATCTTTTCATCATGGAATCGTAAGAGTTCCTTTTTATTTTTTTTAAAGATTTTATTTTTAAGTAATCTCTACAATGTGAGACTCAAACTCATAACCCCGAGATCAAGAGTTGCATGCTTTACCGACTGAGCCAGCCAGGGGCCCCTGTAAGGGTTCTTTATATATTTGAGGTACAAGTCATTTATTAGGTATATGACAGTCTTGTACATTATGATATAATTCCTTTAAATGAAAAGCACATGAGGTTAATTTTTACTGTTCTTGGAGACCAGGTTATAGATCTGTGGGGGTAATTCAGAGAGTCAGTTGAACAACAACTTTAATGTGTAGAAGACCAGGCCCCGGAAAACGTGCTATGAAGAACCTGTGAACAGCATTTTAAGAGTTGAAAAATGAAGCAGGGGGAAACAGTTTATATAATTTGTCTATCCCTTATTGAGTTTTGTCTTTTCCTTATTGATTGATAGGAATTCTTTGTGTAGAGAATTGACTGTTCTCATTGACTGTTAGATATGTGGCAGGTATTTTTGGTCTGTTGGCCTGTTAACTTTGTTTTGTATCTTCTACCCTACTAATGTTTTGCATTTTTGTGTTGTCGGGACTGTCAGTCTTTTCCTATAAAAGGCCTCCAGGTGGCAGTTTGGGATACTGTTCTTAAATTATAGGGATTATATAAACTGACACTGGTTAATGTGATGTCTGAGTCCCTGGTACTGTATTTAACTTTACAGCTTTCGTTGTTTCAGACACTGGTGCTTCCCTATCTCTCTGCCTTGAAAAATACACTATAATCTACTTTAGCTTTGTTGGTTCATTTGATTTTATATTTCAAACATACTTCTAGAAGCTATTCCCATATTCTCTTATTTAGATTTCTGAGAGCCATATTGGACAGTTGGTCATCAAATGGTGGGTACTTACCTCATACCAGCAGAAGTTTATTTAAGGATTTTATGTATGCAGAGCTTGAATGTAACTATGCTGGTCCTATATCGATTGGGGCATGCTGGAGATAGTAGTTTTATAAAATCCTATTAAAATTATTTTCATATTTTTCTCATTTCATTGGATTTAAGGTAGTGGAAAAAAGTATTTTTAGGATCTCTGAACATTTTGAGAAACTGAGGAAAGCTATATAACAAAGCTCCCTAGAAAAAGTTGCATCTCTATTTTACATACAATGTCAAAGGCTTCATTATTACCCTTTGATTTGTTAGGATGACTCTTATATTTCTTGACTCAGTGTTTGTTTGCCTCAGGGTTTTTTTTTTTTTTTTTAAATTGTGGTAAAATATACATATCATGAAATCTAGCATTTTAAACATTTTTACATGTACAGTTCAGTGACCTTGGGTTTTCATTTATGTTATTGTGCAACCATCACCACCATCCTCTCCAGAACTTTCATCTTCCAAACTGAAACCCCATTCTCATTAAATAATAACTCCATATTGCCCCTCTCTCCAGTTGTTGGCAACCACCATCGAGTTTTTGTCTCTGAGTTTGACTATTCCAAGTACCTCATATAAGTGGAATCATACAGTATTTGTCCTTTTATATCTGGTTTATTTCATGTAGCATAATGTCTTTAAGGTTTATCCATGTTGTCGTATATTGCAGAATTTCCTTCCCTTTTAAGGCTGAATAATATCCCACTGTATGTGTATATCACATTTTGTTTACCTATTAGTTGATAGACATTTGGGTTGTTTCTGTCTTTTCGCTTTTATGAATAGTGGTGTTATGAGCATTGGTACACAGATACCTGTTTTGTTCTTTGGGTGTGTACCCAGAAGTGGAATTACTGGATCATAGAGTAATTCTCTGTTTAATTTTTTTGAGGAACTGCACATACATTTCAGTGTTTTTTGTCATTCACATAAAATATAAAATTTAAAAGAATGGTATAATTCAGACATATATTGTCATGTTTACCTTTCTATCAATATAAATTCAAAGAGCCATCTAATCGAAGGGATGTAGAAGTTTTTGTCTTAGGACATGGGGCTCTTTATTAAAATTATTAGAATTATTAAAATTATTAGAATTCAGACTAAATGAAAGGTTTACCCCGATAGTTTCTCAAATCCTAAACTTCTTTATAATTCATGCTCTTGTTTTTCTTAATTCTATGTTTTTAATGTTTTTGGGCAAGTTACCCATCCCGGCAGACTCTAAAATGGAGGTGATTTTGCACACTTGTATAGTTGCAAAGATCTGGATTACTCTCTTATTATTCCGTTGCTCTAGATGGGTACTTTGGCAGTTACTCTGGTATGCTATGAATACTGCTGCTTTTGACAGGTGAGTTGTCCTCCCCCAGTACAAAAATATCCATGATATTTATTAGCGAAGAATGAGAAGTTGCTATTTACTGTGGGGTATGGGCTGTAACAATGATGAGGGAATACTATGGAGTTTGTGAAAAATGTTGCAGTTGGAGGAGGGGGTATTATTACTGTAGCTGTGTAATATAGTTTGAAATCTGAGATTGTGATACCTCCAGCTTTATTCTTTGTCCAGAGTGCTTTGGCTATTCAGGGCCTTTTGTGGTTCCATAAAAATTTTGGGATTATTTGTTCTAGTTCTGTGAAAAATATTGTTGGTATTTTGATATGGATTGCGTTGAATCTGTAGATTGCATTGGGTATTATGGACATTTTAACAATAATTCTTCCAATCCATGAACATGGAATATCTTTTCATTTATTTGTGTCATCTTCAATTTCATTCACCTGTTTCTTACAGTTTTCAGAATACAGGTCTTTCAGTCCTTTGGATAAATTTATTCCTTGGCCTCGGCATTTTATCTTTATGATGAATTGTAAATGGGATTTTTTTCCCTTAATTTCTCTTTGTGCTAGTTTATTATTAGTACGCAGAAATGCAACAGATTTTTGTATATTAGTTTTGTGTTCTGGAATTTTACTGAATTCCTTTATTCTAATAGTTTTTTTGGTGTAGTCTTTATGGTTTTCTATATGTAGTATTATATCAATTGCTAATAATGACAGTTTTACTTTTTCTTTACCAATTTGGATGCCTTTTATTTATTTTTCTTGCCTAATTACTGTAACTAGGACCTCTAATGCTACGTTATATGAAAGTGGTAGGAGTAGGCATCCCTGTCTTGCTGTCGATCTTAGAGAAAGCTTTTAGCTTTCACCATTGAGTATGGTATTAGCAGTGTGTGTTTTTCAGAAA